GAAAGTTCGGATCACAAGGCTACAAAGATTTAGAGAAATAACTAACATTGCTTGACTGGTGGCTGAATTCTGCTTTGGGCTGAACGGAGGAGACCTTCGCTTTGTTAAAGCCTTAGTCAGTGTTTTCGATTAGCCTATTGTACTAAAATAAAAGAGGGTATGTAAGCTAAATATTTGACATTGTTGTTTCTTTATGAGCTCGATACTGTAACTCTAAACTCGAACTTAAAATTGAAGATGAATAATATTTGTGTCATTACACATGAATTACAGATAACCTGAAAAATGGTACAGACTCTCGTAAAGAATTTGCCATTAGTTTTCAAAATTATGAACGTTCGTCTCTTCATGAACATGCATATGATTGAAGTTCCTCAAATGTAAATCTATTGCAGGCTCTAAAGGCAAATTGGTATAGAATTCAAGACTGAATTATTTTAGCTGATACCTTAAGTTAGTTTTGAAACGAATTAAATTTTGTTCATTTCATTTCGAAATTTACAGTTTTCTTTGAATTAATTAAAATTTTAGGGTAGAGTTACATTATGAATGAGATAAATTTTTGAAAACATTGTATAGTAACAATATGAAAATTCCAACTTATATATATGTTTTGCAATTCAAATGAACTATATTATTGAAACAAATAATTTTATTAACCAATAAAATTTTTTAGGATACATTTCATCCATCTATGAAGGCAAATAAATTGATAGTGTAAAAGACGATAACTATCTCAACTTCATACATGAATCATGTGAACCTAACCACCTTATTATCTACGGATAATTGAATTAACGATCTGCGGTTTTATTTTTTGCACATATTGAACAATTTCATTCAAATAAAAACGAAAGAACAGAATTGATTTATTTATAAGATATTGATATATTTAAACAATATATTACTTACTAATTTTACTAGGATTACTTCGCATCTTGGATAGAGCTAATCAATAATTAATTACTAATAAGTCATTTTTTAAGATAATTATTTTTCACTACTCAAACATGATAGCTTTGTTGAAATGATTAATTCTAACAATATCAATAACTACATGTTAAAAGAGAAATCGTGCATTTCAATAACTAGCCAGAGCCAGTACATTAATAATAATATAACTAATAATTTTATGATCTCTTATTAAGAACACACATAACAAAACTCGACTTGAACCCATAACTTTATAAAAACAATGTAAAATACAAACCATCTATCCAAAAGATGGTTTAGAAGAGAGTAAAAGATTTAGAAGAGAGCAAAATATAAAATACAAAGCTCGATTTGAACCCACTACTTCATAGAGAAAAGTTGGTTTAGAAGAGAAATTAAACAGAGAAATATCAATGGGAAGACTCTTTCATAATCTTTTCCTTACTTTCTTCATAAACAACAATCTGTAAGGTTCTATATACTCCTTCAATTCCGAGGTCAGTGACTTGTTTGGTGTCTATGTCATATAAGACCATCTCTCCCTTGCCATTATCAAGAAACACCTTGCCATCCTTCCAAAAACCCAATGGATACCAACACCAATACAACCCAGGATTGGGATCAATTCTATACAATTTACTCCAAGACTCTTCTACACCAATTTCATGTAAAACCCATACATCAAACCACCAACCGTCCTCCATTCTTCGACTGTACCATTGACTAACACAAATCGTTAAACATTCACCTAATGGGTAGAACCACATAAACGTAAAAAATCTATTGCTATTACCAGGAAGCCTTGTGTTCATAAAAACCTCCTTTCCTATATCAAATGTAGTGATTCTTCCTTCATTATTGGCACAATTTATTGTAAACCAAGATAAGGTTCCGTTCACCACCATGCTTGAATTTTTTAAAAAATCAACTATACCCGTTCCTTGAATATCGATTCTCTTCCAATAATCTTCTTCTAGGTTGTAAAGTTCTATATAATATTCTTCTGTAGGAATTCTTATGAGTTTTATCACCTTGTAATCTTTCCTCTCTGCAAGGTATTCAAACCCAGAAAGAATTACATCAGCAATGACGTTTCTCCTCTCGCGATTAAAATATTGAAATTGGGGTGGTGGAAGGATTTTTAACTCGCCAGTAGCAGGATTCCATAGGAAAAAATCATCCCTATAATGATCATGTAAACATACTATCCCGTTACATGAACCCACCACGTTAATTGTCGCTGACCCATGATCAGGTGAGTTGATGGAAGGGAGGTATTGGTTTGTAGACATTTCGTGAAGGTTGTTATAAGAACAGAGAGAAAACACAGCAGGCTCCTCTGTGTCATCAGGGTTAGGGTTCTTGTTGATACGACTGATGAGGAGTTGGGAGGTGGTACTGTTGGTGTTCTTGTTTTTGGCGTTGAAGAGAATGCTTTTGCCAATGGCCTCTGGATTATGTATCAGAGTCGACCATGACTTGCAAACGCATTTGAATCTGATCAAACTTTTGGCTGGACATTTTAGCAGGAGAGAAACTGTTATGTCTTCTATCCAAGACTTATGAGCTAATGTCATCTTTGACTACTCAATGGATTAACATATGCATATATATATATATAACAAGGAATGTTACATGTATATATATGGAAAGTTTTGTATGTATATATCAATGGTTAGGTTATAGTTCATGAATCTTCTTTTTTTGTTAGAATTTCATTTACTGTAAAATCTTAAATATAAAATATATAAAAAAATAATATTTAAATGTCTCCTCAATCTTTAGTTTTGGCAAATATCTCAATGTATTTGAATTATTCAAAACTTCAAAAACTTGACCGATATAAATTAATTAGAGTTAATTCTTAATTTGTATTATATTAATATTTTATAAAACTTAAGTTTTTAAGAGTATTTATTGGTTTTAAAATTAGACAAAGTTAAGGTTTATATTTGTTTTTAATCAATAATTTAATATTATATCAATAGTAATTTATATTCGTAATTTGATATTGGATAAATAATATATAACCATTTATATATAACGAATATTCTGAGTAAAATTAAGCGAACTAGGAATTGAGATATCTTATATATATATATATAGAAAGTTTTTTATTTATATATCAACGATTAGGTTATATTATATGAATCATTTTTTTCTAAAATTTTATTTACTGTAAAATCTAAAAGAAGAAAAATATCTCGAGGTATTAAAGTTTCCTCAATCTCTAGTTTTGGCATTATATCAATGTATTTGAATTATTCAAAAATTCAAAAACTTCACTAATATAAATTAATTAAAGTTAATTCTTAATTTGTATTATATTAATATTTTATAAAACTTAAATTTTTAAGAGTATTTATTGGTCACAAAATTAGACAGTATTAAGTTTTATTTTTATTTTTAATCAATAATTTAATATTATATAACTAATAATTTATATTAGTAATTTATATATAACCATTGATATATAATGAATAGTCTGAAGAAAATTAAAGGAAGGAAAAACTAAGATTAATTATGTTACAGAAAAAACAAAAGTAGTAAGGTAGAAATAAATATATGAAAAAACTAAATTAAATTAAAATAGTAATGGATATATGTGTATTATTTAATAATTTCATTAACTTTATAATTATATGAATACTTTTTTTTAGTACATTCCTATATTTATAAATTAATTCATATAAATAATTAACTGCAACATAAATAAAATTTAAATTAGAACATATATGTAAATATAATCCGACTCAAAGCTATGACTTCTTGTAGAGGAAGAGACATACCGATTATTTAAGTAATACGATAAATATATTGATTAGAAGTATTTCGGTCATTTTGTTTAACTTATAAAAAAATACTAATAATATTAATTATAAATAATTAATTACATTAACAAAATATTTAATGGTTCATAGTACGGCGTTATTTACTAATAATATAAAATTAAATAATTAATAATTTTGTTTTATAATTAAAAAATTAAGAGAATAATTAAATATAATTTATACTACTTCAATTTTTCAAAGAAAAAGAATATCAATTTTTTTCTTTCAGAATAAAATATATTATTTTACTTCAACAAAAAAATAATAAACAGTAAATTTATGTTAACAAATATAAAAGAAAAATAAAATAAATTTATGTTCTATTTTATTAACAAATCTATTTTATATATAATCACAGTTTAACTTTTTTGTGCTTTGTTGGTTTTTTTTTTTCTACAATAAAAGTGTTTCTTTTTTATTTCAATGAAGTTTTTTGGGCTGATTTTTGGGAAATATCTTAATTTTTACTAGTTATATATATGAAGTTGATTGTTAATATGTTTATCTACTTCGAAATGTCATTAAGAAAAAAAATAATTTTCACATTTGTCGGTAAATGCTATTTCACGAACATTTGGCAATCTTCATAGCTTTCTTTCTAAATCAAATACTTAATATTCTTGCTTTCATTCATTATTTAAAGACAACTATTGAGGTTGTAGATATTGTTAGTACCAAAATTCGTTCTTAAACTCATTGAAGAATTAGTGGTGAGGTACTTTAAACTATACTGTATTTCAGTACTAGTTTTAAGTTCTCAATACATTTTTTAATAATTATTGATATGCTTCTAATCAATAAAAATATTCAGTTGATGTTTCTTACATAATGTTTTATATACTAATAAACAATGCAGCATAAACACTGATTGTATTTTAATTTTGGTTGTCTACTAATATGAGATCTTTTTTTGCTTGTGTTTGCAGGAGAGTTGAGTATCGAAACATAGATTTTGTCAATAGCTCCTAATTTTTTGAAAATAAAAAAGTTGATGTAGCTCCTAATTTAAACGATGCTAAGAATATAATAGCACTAACTATTGAAAATGATATTATGATTCACATGATGCATACCTCACTTCTTCGCAAAGCAGGTGTAAAATCCTTTGTAGCGAAGAACGAATAGGAAGCTATTAATCTTTTTCTTTCAGGGGCTTCTTTCGATCTTGTTTTCAAATATAATAAGATGTATATCATGAATGAACCTACGGTATTTTCTTATTTTTATCTTTAATAATTTATATATATTATGTGCAATATCTCATATTTTATTTATATACATATATTGAATAAACATCACATTCTTTATAATATTACTATTTAGTAAAATGGAATTCAACCACCAAAAAATTCTGTGCTTTTATATAATGTAATTACTCGAATTTAACTAAAAATATATGCATAAGCAAATTATAATTGGTGCATTAATTTTACTCTTAAGATTAAATGATAATGAAAAAATATAAATATTTATATTTTGTTGTTTTACTCTTTGAACAAAAAATATATATATAATTAAAACAATAATTGTGTCAAATATACTAAATATTACGGTTTATATAAAGACTTCATAATTGTATATATAACCATTTTCTATAGAATTTAGATTTAATAAATACTGTCCTTAAAATATACCTTATATTTCTTATTACTTCATTGGCAACAATGAAACTACGAGCAATGAGAGTGAATAACATGATTGTTGGCGTAACTTCTAAAGATCGCAAAGAAAAGAAACAAGATTTCATGAAAGCAGGACTTGATGATTACTAATTTACTCGAAAAGATCAAGAAGAACTAATCATTTCTAATTAGTGGTTCATGACATCAATTGAGATGCATATTTATAAATCTGTAAAACTAAATAAGTATGTTGCTTGCTCTAAATGATACTATCTTTTATATTATATTTATTTTTAAAAAATTAATAGATGAATTTATACATCAGTTTCAAACTACTAGGCAAATAAATTGATAGTGCAAGAGATGATGATATCTCTATTAAATCCCATAAACCTAACCACCTTATTATCTATGGATAATGAATAAATGATCTGTGATTTAATTTTTTATGCATATTAAACTATTTAATCCAAACGAAAACGAAAGAGTTTGATTAACTTATTTATAAGTATTGGTCTAGTTAAATAATATAATATTTAATGATTTAAGTATGACTATCTCGCATCTTAAATATAACGTGTTAACTAGTAAGATATATAGAGCAAATCTTAGACGATAACCTGTTGCATTATCGTTATCCTATAATGTAACCCTTGTACGTCAAACCCTATAGTTGAGAGCACGTAAATAATACTTTCTTCGTAATCATCCAATAGAGAATTAAAAAAAATTTCAAACTATTACAAGGTATTATTTAATTTCGTTTATTTGATTGATTTATTTTTATATGTTTTCATTTTGCCATCTTAAATTGCGAAAAAGATTTGGATTAATAATAATAAGTTTTAATTAATTAAAATTTTCATCTCAAACATAATTTGTATTTTGTCATATTTAATTTATTCTAGCAGCACTGATTCTTTTTTCAGCTTAAGAGGAATATATACATATATATATATATATATGTATAAGTTAGTAAGTGGAAGGACAAGTATGGCCCTGGGTCTGTGTCTGTGTCTAGGCTTGGATGATAGTTTGGGCCTTGGTCTCGGTCTAGACATGGACGCCTGAGCCTGGACATATGGAAAATCTTAATGTGATATATTTATTCTCTGTCAATGGCGCGGCGGGCAACACAAGTAAAATAACGGTAAGTTGAGGGCATAATAGGAAATTCACTTCAAAATTTAAACTCTGTTTTCCTGATCCGACGAGGAGAAGATGAGTCTCTGTTTCTAAGAAAGAAGAAGGATAAGAAGCGGAAATCCAAACAAGACATTCACTGTTTGTTTCCATTCTTGTTTTCAAGATTAAGAAGAAGAGACTCTCTGGATTTCCTTCCATTGTTTTCATTCTTCTGCAAATCGCTTCTGTGGTAAGAAAAAGAGAGATTCAACCTCTGTGTTTTCTTTTAGGCCTTCTCTGTTCCAAATCGATAGAAGGGATTTACCAGTTTGTCTCCGTTCTTGTTTCGAAATAGAAGACATTCTCTGGGTTTCCTTCCATTGTTTTCATTCTTCTGCAAATCGCTTCCCTTTCCTTGCTCCTGTGATAAGAAGAGGAGAGATCTCAGTCTCTGTTTTCTTTCAGCCTTTCTCTCTTCCAAACAAACCGTTGAAACCTTTCCTTCTTCAGATTCTCTATTGCCTTTGAGAAAGATTTCAAGATGCACTATCTCTTGATTTCAACATGGCCAATCCACTAGTAGCAACTTGTGCCATTGCTTTGTATGACTAGCCTGATTAATTGTTCTTGTTCTTGCTTAATTGCTGGTATATTTTAATTCTTTTACGTAAACAAATCTAGACAAGGTATCAAATTAAATTAGAGCTCAAACCAAAAACGAACTTGTAAATCAAATGCAATATTCTTCCATTTGATTGGAATTTAGGAGAACAGACTAGAACATTATCATAAGTTAGAGAACTAATAAAATTGTTTAAGATGAAAGCTTTCTATTTGTGCTTCTCTTGCTAAAATTTAATCCATGTGTTTAGCTGTGATCGTGCTTTCGAACTGGCTATCATGGTTTTCCTATAAATATTTAAATCTTTTTTAATATATAAATTTTTGGGACATTCTCGTGTACATAGTCATGATGACTTAAATTAGATTATCAAAGAT